ATCTCATATTTAATAGTTTATTGGCCTATATTTTACAGGGGGTTTCCTCTGCCAATTAATTGGCTTAGCCGTTAGACGCATCGTACAGGTTTGTGCTAAGCCAATGAAAATGTAATTTTTATCCAAAAGTTCCACTGATAAATCTACTCTTAGAAATATGGTGTAAATATAAAATACCCCCGCCGCAGCAAACCTGCCGACTAAGCGAATTTCCATTTATCTGAATTGATTTTCAATTAAAACTATTTAAATAACATTAGGTTTAAGAAGTACCTAGGTTTGCTGCTACAAGGAAACTGAAACTAATAATGTGTTTTAGTAAAATATTAATAGCTTAGTATAAAATAAATAAATTTGCCAAGTTATCAAAATATATCCATAAACAAGCAAACTACAACATTTTACAATATTCTCCATAAGAATAACATGGGAATTTTAAATTTAATTTTTTTTTTATTTTCTCCGTTACCAATAATTGTACAAAAATACTTTTATATACTAAATTAATTGTATTTTTAAGCTCTTTAAAAAGGTCTAGAGAGAAATTGGAAAATTTTGTGTTTTTAGGGTCAAAAATTAGAAAACCCGATTTTTACCCCATAAAACCCCGTTCCTCATGGTCCGATCATGCTGGCTCGCGAACTCATTCAAGTTTATCCCGCTTTACACCTTTAAACCAAATTTTATCAAAATCGGATAAAAATTACTCAAGTTATCGTGTTCACGGACACACACACACACATATATATATATATATATATATACATATATAAAAATTTGAACGAATGGTGTTTTTGGCCTCTGGGGACATCAAAATGAAAAAGTAAATCGGTCCCGGGCTTAGGTCTTACCATGCCACCTACGGTAATAGCTACTTCCCTATAGGGAAATTCGCTAAAATGCAAAAAGTTAGTAAAAACTGCACATAAACACTCTAATGTCTGGTTTTCGGCTGTTTAATATAGTTTCAAAGGCAGAACTTAAGGGTTAGCGAGACAAAAATGTCACAGCTTTTACTTTATGCTATAGAGTATAGAGCATATGATTTACACGAGAAGAAGTTGGTTTTGACACTGAATCACATTTAGAAAAACAAAACAAACATGTTAAAATAAAATTATTACATTGGAACTCTAGTTAACATATCAAAATATATACCATAAACTTACTTGTGTTACGTGTAAATCATCTTCGTTTTCTACTAGCTGGCCCGACCGACCTCGTACGAACAGTCTAAATATTTACAGTAAATTTCAATATCACTAACTCCGCGAGTCATGCTAACATTTAACATCAGCTGTTGACCAGCATTGTTGCGAATATTATTTGCTCTCTGGTTGCGACAGTCATTGGGATCGCAGAACGGACATTAGAACAGAAACAGTATGGATCAAAAACATAAAGAATGTCGTCACTGGATTGCATCTAATACTAATAATCCCTACATCTGTTTTGGACGCTTTTTGACAGTTGCATTGAAATAATAATATATTTATAATTATATTATAATTTATATTTTATAGCTATTTTATAATCCGTGGAATCATACAAACAACCCACTCATTCCGGCAGCGCATCGTCGAAAACTGAAAACGTCCTTTTCTATTCCTTGAGGGTTTTAATTCAATATTTGTGTATTGTATATTGTTTTGCGATAAAAGACTCTACGTTCTTGAATAGTCGTATTCATCGCTTTCTTAGTAATACACACCAAGTGTATTATTATAATCAATGCTAAAGAGTATTCGTTGGGATGTTCTTTTCTTTTGTACTGTATTTAGTAATTTGCTTCTGTACTGTAGTTGATTTGCTATAAGCATTATGTTACAATTAATTTATTTACATTTTCTTAAAACGGCAATAGCTATTTGACAATCCATAAGACTGATGTTAAAAATATTTAATAAAAACGATTTTTACCAGAACAGAGCCTTGAAGGGATATTGTTTAGCCTAAAACTAAGATATTTCTAACAAATTGGAGGAAATCATATGAGCCGTTTTTAAAACCATTGTGCACAAACGTTACTCATATTATAGTATATATTTATTACATTATGGTAATTATTTCCGTTGTTTATCACTAATATCGTTAAGTTGTTAGTTCTTGTAATCTGTGCTACCTAAAAGTGTTATTAAATAAAACTACATAATAAATTCTGTGATAAAACCAAAACTACCAAAAATATTGTAAACACTACAGTACTTATTTTTAATACCCCCGCCGCAGCAAACATGCAGACTAAGCGAATTTCCATTAGCCTGATTGGTAAATATTCACAAAGAGTTGTCTCTAAAAATGTGTATGCACTTACAAATCATTATTATCAGCGACCTCCACCTGCTCTAGTGTTTTACCCAGTGTGTTTCTATCTCGCACAGATCAGCGCAGACCGCAGCGCGCAATTACTACATACAGTTCGCAATCAGATAGCATCGCGAGCAAACAAACGTCCTGCATAGACACCCTTCAAGACATTGTAGAAACACAATTGCTATGTATTTCGTAATTGTGTAATAGAAGACCATGTTTAATTTTAGCACTCTAAATATCTCGGTAATCAACAGGCGAAGAATGATTTATGCTTTGTACAATTTATTTTTATATTAAGCTGTTTTGAATGGTGAGAATGTTTTGTAAACTATTTAGTGTATTTGTGACAAATCTTAAAACTCGATTTATCTGTCAACCTTTCCCAAGATCAGGATGGCTATCCCACTCATATAAGGTATGTTGTGTAACACGTTTGTGCCAAATTTCATCGGAATCTGAGGTTAGTTCAAAAGACGTCTTGCCTACATTTTCGATCGGATTTATTGCTGTTACTATAGCATTAAGACAACAATATTTCTGGTGTAGTAGTCTTTTTTAACATATTCAACATTCTTTAAATCAAATCTAGTACCATACTCAACTGTTATTCCGTTTCCTCGTGATTTTACTCTTGTAACTAATGTTTGTATAGGTTGGACTAGGACTACCATAGCCTGATTTTTTCTTGTGATGCTAACCCATGTGAGGGGTGGTCCTATTAGCTACCTTTATTTAACTTTTACTTAAGTAGTATTGTTTGATCATTTGGTAAGCTTACTTTAATTCACGTTTAAAAAACGATTTTCAACAGTTATTCACATTAGTAGAGGATACAAATAATTTTAGACAGGTACCCAACTAATACCATTTTAGAGGAGTATTATGCACATGATTTTAATGCGAATTGTAGACCTACATATCCGAGTTGATGTCAATAGCTTTTTATGGTTTTAAACTATACCTAGTCGTGGATGATTGGCTACAAACAAACGGCACCGTAAAATATTGTATCTTAATTCATTACAAGCCACTCAATTCTACACTCGCCCATGTATAACTCTCATACTCATCTGGTAACAAGCAACATTGTGTAGCTGTCTCAACATGTAATGAAATGTCTGTTAATTTTAGACATTTTACTACCCATTGAGTAGCAGATTTTGTCAAGTCATTCAGAATGGAATACAATTTAAGTGCTTGGTCACTGCAGCAGTTACAGTAAGAGCAGTACCCTGAGAAGCCTTGCTATTTGCTAGCACCAACTGATGATATGGCACAGAATCCTCTTTTGATCCAAGAGCTGTGACAATATCGTGGTGATTCATCCTACAAAGGTCGCAAGGGAGAGTGAGTGCAGCGTGGTCGAGTACACAGATCTGCGCTATATGCGATACATGGGACGATGACAGCGCATTGTGTTGAACAATAACAGCGGCTGCCAACTCGCGAGGTGGTTTTGTTTTGGTCCAGAATATCTTCCAAGTGCGAAATAAACTGAATGAGTCAATCGAAAATATCATTTAACTTTGACATTTTTCGTAAAAAAACCCCAATAATACCTAACTATCCATATATAAATCCCAAAGTACCCATGAACTTTTGAGAAAATTAAGTCACACCCCCATAAACCATATACTTAAAATGATCGTCATGACGAGAAAAACCGCGCGCAAAATTATAAATTGCCCTTCAATTTCTTACCTTATTAAAATCAGGTGTGATTATTTGTTTGTATTACTGTATTCTTTTTTGTTTATTTCAGCTTAACTTAACCAATCAATAGTTGTATTAATACTTATGAAGTCAAACGGCGTGAAGCCCGTGGGTAACAGCTAGTAATAAGGTAACTATAATAGTACCTTACATACCTATTTCATTTACTAATCACAAACTGATATGATATAACTATCAATGTTTGACCAAATATTAAATTTGGGTTGTTAAACAGCTGTTCATGGCTTACATTGGCATCCGGGGGGCAAATCTGGGCTTCGTGCACAGCAAGAAAATCTCAGCAGTTATAGTGAAAATTTAACGTCAAACCTTCATTCAACAACTAGCGTTAAGCCCGATTTACAAATTTAAATCATTGGCAAAGATTAAATCCTCTGCCAGATTAGAAAAAGGAACCCTAACAGGACTTTTCCGCGGCAGAAAACTACAGCTTTAATATGAGGTTATAGACTCAGTGTCTATTGGCCTGTTTTCCTCCTTATACAGTATTTTAAACCAAAATAGGTAAAATTGGTGCAGAAATACTCTGCAGCCCTTACTAACCTACAGTATAGTATAACTGACCTGGTGTATGACCAGTATGTCCCGTTGTCCTCCTTGTACTGTATTGTAAAGCCCCACGGGTAGGATTGTTTTGGTATTCTGCAGCAATACTCTACAGCACTTACTAACCTACAGTATAGTATAACTGACCTGGTGTTTGACCAGTATGTCCCGTTGTCCTCCTTGTACTGTATTGTAAAGCCCCACGGGTATGATTGTTTTGGTATTCTGCAGCAATACTCTACAGCACTTACTAACCTACAGTATAGTATACTGACCTGGTGTATGACCAGCGGTGTGTTGCCATGTTGACCTACTCCTTGTATTGTAAAGCCCCGCGGGTATGATTGTTTTGGCATTCTGCAGCAATAAACTGCAGCTTTACTAACTTACAGTATCAGTATACTGACCTGGTGTATGACCAGCGGCGTGTCGTCCTGTTGACCTCCTCCTTGTATTGTGAAGCCCCACGGGTAGGATGGGTCGCTTTTCTGCAGCAGTATACTCAGCATCTTGGCCATTCTGCAGCACCTATCACACGCACACACACGTCACTCACTACTTCAGCATTACAGTAGACTACCACCGTGTTGGCACTACACTACGACCACTACTACACGCTAGCCTGTTGCCTCACTCTGTTGGCACGGTACCGTCCCCCCCGCCGTTCACTGCCTCACTATGCTCCTTGTCACTTTATTGACGATCTTTTGTTAAAGATTTTATTAACCATGTCAAAGTCAATATGTTTATAGATCAATCCTTTAGGTCTTGATATATATTTAACAATTATTTCACATTTTAACGAAATCAACGAAATCTATGTGTGTTTTTGTAGGCCCTAAGTTTGAAATATAGCCTACACGTTTTTGTTAAAACATTTATGTATTTTAGTTATAACATTATTAGGATTTTTTTCACTCTAAATGTTAAAATAATTTAACCGAGCATCAAAACAGAGCCAAGCCACGAGTTTTTTGTCACTGTTAATTAAAAAATCACAGCCTGTTTTGCCAATTGATCTATATGTTGTCTACTGACATATCTAATCCAACAAGAATAATTTTTAATCCTACCGACTATGTCCATGTAAACAGTATGAATACCGTACTACATATAAAGATTGTGTGACTAAGGTCCTGAGTTGAATGGAAAATGGATACAGGTCGAGATACAAGTGGTCGAAGATCAATATTGAGAATTCACTAAACTCTTTTTGTTTTCGTTCCAGATGCCACAATCCATAAAGAGAAGCTCCAATCCGGAGATCACAATGTCACTGAGATGCAATACTAGATTGATTAAGAGCTCGGTGAACAAATCCAGGTCATAGGGAGCCGAGTGAACGGCCTATTTCTGTCCGGGCAAACAGGGAAGATAAAATAGCGATTGAGTGAAGTGAGGACTTGATAGCTTGAGACAGTTGGCTAAAATATTAGCACTGCTATCGATCTTCTCATTGAATCGAACTGAAAGTAGCAAATCAGTCGTCGATTCTATAAAATGTTACAATGCCAAGACAAGGTGATTTAAAAAATTCATTTAGAAACCTTAGCCTTAGGGTAAGAGGTAAGAGAAGTAAGAGATTTACCACTAAGAGTTGTGGCAATTATTGCGCTTCTTAGCCCTTTTAACACCAGTACGGACCCAAACGCTGAATAAAATCACAAAAACTCTTTTTTTAAACAATGAACTAAATGCAGCATTATTTACAAAAATTTTCAAAATGTAATTCTCATGTATTTCTCCTACGGATCCTTAATGACAAGGTCTCCACGCAGCTTGCATACGTAATCGATTATGAAAAATACGACTAGTATACCAATAACATTTCTCAGGATTTGGAGGAAGGGAATCGAAGGAATATTACACAAATCATTAGCCCGTTGACGCACAGAAATATATGATGTTTAAAATAATCATGGCATCAGTGTTTATCATAATACACGTTATTTACTCGTATTTTAAAATATTTTTTTCTAGCAAAAGAAACTTATAAGTCGACTAAGTTGCGTTAAGAAACACACTTCCCACGAAAATGTATTTCGGAGCCGTGTACAGTTTACTATGCAAACTCATGTTCTAGGCGGGCTGGGAGCCGAAAGTTAGCATTGCAAATGCGCGACAGCTAAATTACTTATGTAATGTCATACAGTTTGTCACTTGTAAGTTGGTCTGTGAGATCAGAGCTCAGATGACTATCTTACGTCATTTACACGGGATTCTGGAGGGAATCATGGATCTTATCAATGCTGAGGTCGCATCATAGACTCATGTGTTTTGTGTGATTTATTGCAAAACTTAAAGTTTTATCTTGCTAAATGTCATATTACTGAATTTAAAAGTGTGAATTTTATTGTTGTACGAAAAATTGGAGACCATTTTGATATCTATATAAAACATTATTTATTGATTTTTGCGGATGTCCTATTAACAACAAACTAGCAGAACCCAGCGTGACTTTGCTTGTGACAATTCTAAATTAAAAAGCTAAATGTTTGGTTCCAGTTAAAACACATTATGGGTTTTGTCTGGAAAAAGTTTGTTTTCATCCATTAACGCTTCTGACCAAAGCACCGTGACCACTATACCGTCCATCATTACCTATATGAATTCATCAAATATTCCTTTCAATAATGGAAAACATGTTTAGGTTTTTCCAGAAGAGCTACGGTAGTAGCTTATTTCCTTTATGGAAAATTCGCTAATATGGTTGAAATATTTTATTTTTAAAATGTCAATGAGGATTATTTTTAACTTTATGTGGTATTATTTTTATTCATACGACCAACTTTTGACAATCTTATGGGTCAATCAATACCTCCTAGCTTCAAAAGAATCGGTTAAAAGCATAGACAAAAATATAAAAGTATATACAAAATTATAGGAAAATATAAAATGAAAAGTAAAATTGGAATCGGATTATTTGTTGACAAAATATTTCTAGGCCTACTTATATGTGTGCCTTTGTCACATAACTTATCTTTATATTTTAATTCATATTTTTATCCGTAGTTGATCTAGTTCATTGTATAAAAATCTGTCTAACTTCCACATCGGCAAACAGATTTACCATACTTCCATATTTGGCATTGTACTCTTTCGTACATGGGGAGCTTTGTTCTACTACCGTACTTAAAATAAAATCGAATCCCTTAACATATTACATTTTTACATAACATAACATTTTTACATAACACTAATATGTAGAAATGTTGATCATATTTCTTGAGCTGCTATCATAAATAATCTTACAGGAGAGAATGTTTTATCTATGAGGAGAATGCAGGTGTCTTCCTTAACAATGGATTAAACTCGAAAAAAAATCTTTTCTTTGATTTTGAAAAGTTATATCCTCTACACATTAATAATACTGTATCCTATTATTAATTTGTAGTAAAACACAAAACCTAAAAAAACACAACAAATACTGTAAATATATTGACTTTAAAATTCAGTATAACACCAGTTTCAATATCCACAAAAATAATGCAAATATTTTGATTTTAACTAAATTAATAAACTATCCGTTCACACTTAAGAATTGCTAACTAAATTTTTTGCAACACGTTATTTCGTTTCAAATCATATTTATTGTGTAATATCTAAAGAGGAATTTAAACAATTTTACAGTAACCTATTGCGCTATGTCCCGTACTATCTCAGAAATATACTATTTAATTTTCATAAGGATAAGATCACTAATTCTTATTGAACTAAAATAAAAATGTGCATTCAAGATTATAATACAGGGTGATTGGTACTCAGTGTGACAAAAAATTTTTGGTGTAAGTAGCCTACAAAGTAAATGCAGTGTGATGATGCATATAAAAGGGGGGATGCGGAATACTATCCCCCGGAAAACTACCCCCCCAGGTGAAACGTGACGTCACAAAATCTGCTAACTAACCAATATGGAAGCCGTGTCCGCGACTGGAATACTACCCCCCCCCCCCTAGACAAATCATGCTATGTAATTTTAATTTTAATTCGAGTAATTCCGTTGGATAATAGAAAAGGCATGTGGTGAATATAAAACCGATTTTAGAAATGTTACAGCAAGTTTGGTTGGTTAGGTTAGGTTAGATTAGAACTGTTTGACAACTAAATTTGAGTGTCCGTGACTGGAAAACTGCCCCCCCGGTCTCTGACGTCAATATGACGTAGGGACCTGCTTGGGGGGGTAGTTTTCCGGGGGACAGTCTTCCGGCGACCCATAAAAGGTTCCAAGTATAAAAATTAGCTTCCCAAAGAATTATTTTATGTTTATCAAAAATAACTATGTTTTTAAACTTAATACAGCTATTTCTCAATTACCTGTAAATGGATTTGAGTGGATAATGTCATTTTCGTGTTATACATTAAATTTTGAATAAGAATAATGGAAAATGACAGGGTATAATTTGTAAAAACTCCATTGTAAATAGATTCAAAGATAATAATTAAGATGTTTGATACAATTTAAAAAAAACATTGGTCTATTGCATTAGTTCACACCCTGTATACAAGAAAATGTCCGAATATGGTAAAAACTGCGCCATTTTTTAAGCTTACCAACCATATGCTTATGTACGCTTTAGTGGTTTGAAGTCTACAAAACATGGTGTCTTTAACATTTAAAACATAGAAAGTCGGCATGTATTAAGCTAAAGTTGTATTTTTGTTTCAGCTTGAACAGTAAAAACAGTAAAAAAGTTCCCTGTTTTCTGGTATTCAAACCACTAAAACAAACAAAATACCCCCGCCGCAGCAAACCTGCAGACTTAGGGAATTTCCATTTGCTTGATTGGATTTAAACTGAAATGTCTCCTTAAAAATATCACATTTATTCCCTATTTAAAAAGAATTAGTTTAATGAGTACTTAGGTTTGCTGCAAAAGGGAGGGTAAAAAAGCTTTTTTAATGAAAATGTTAAAAGGTATTGTGGTTTAGTAAGAAATTAGTGTATTTTCCAAATTTGATCAAAATATGTTCATAAACAAGCAAACTACAACAGTTGACTTATTCTCCATAAGAATAACATGAGAATTTTAAAATTACAATTTTTTTGAATTTTCTCCGTAACAATTAGGCGCATAACAACGCTTCAATATACTGAATTATTTTTAAGCTCTACAAAATAGTTTAAAAAGAAATTGTGAAATTTTGTGTTTTTAGGGTAAAAAAATGGGAAAACCCTATTTTTACCCCATAAAACTCCCCATAAACCCCCGTTCCCATACCCGGATCCCCCGATCTCCCGATCATGCTGGCGAACTCATTCAAGTTTATCCCGCCTTACACCTTCAAACCAAATTTCATCAAAATCGGACAAAAATTACTCAAGTTATCGTGCGGATGGACACACACACATATATATAGATAGATATATAAAAATTTGAACGAATGGTGTTTTTAGCCTCTGGGGACATCAAAATGATAAAGTAAATCGGTCCCGGGCCTAGGTCTTACCATGAGACCTACGGTAATAGCTACTTCCCTATGGGGAAATTCGCTAAAAATATCTAAACCTCAATAATGTAGCATATGGTTGGAAAGCTTATACAATGGCGCAGTTTTTAACATATTC